TATAATAAAATATGTCTAGTGGCTGCAATGCCAGTGTACAGTGTAAAAAAGAAAACATCTACCGCCTAAATTTTTCGTGTTGGTATCATGTGACGTCACGGGCTATGACGTGCTTTGGTATGTAAATTAGATGAAGTATATAATACTATTATAAGTATGATTTAAAATACCCAAACAATGGAGAAATGCCAACACAATCTTAATACATAAGAAGGGAGACCGAACAGACCTAAACAACTACCGTCCTATTTCCCTTTTGTCACAACTATATAAAACCTTCACAAGAATAATAAACAACCGACTAACCTATAAACTTGATAACTACCAACCAGTGGAACAGGCCGGATTCAGAAAAGGATACAGCACAATCGACCATCTACATACGCTTAAAATCTTAATTGAGAAAACCAATGAATACAACCTTCCGCTGTACTTAGCATTCGTAGATTATGAAAAGGCTTTCGACAGCATTGAAGACTGGGCGGTTGAAGAAGCTCTGGTCAATAGTAGAATAGATTCAAGATACCGACAATTGATACATGATATTTACCAAAACGCAACCATGACCGTAATTCTGGACGACAAATTAATAACGGATAATATAAAAGTTAAACGAGGAGTCCGACAAGGCGATATAATTTCACCTAAACTGTTTACCTTGACCCTCGAAGACATAATAAAATCAACAGATTGGGAAAACAGAGGAATATGTATTAACGGAAAATACCTAAATCACCTTAGATATGCGGATGATATACTCCTGATCTCCTCGGAACGACAAGAACTGGAATTAATGATGAATGAACTTCATGAAAAATCACTGCAAAAAGGCCTAAAAATTAACTTTAACAAAACAAAAGTAATGACAAACACGGAAGACCAAGAGGCAATAAAAATAAAAACAGAAAAAATAGAACAGGTAAATGAGTATATCTATCTAGGACAAGCAATCAGAGCTAATAGAGAAAATCAAACAGCCGAAATATCGAGACGAGTAAGAATGGGATGGGCAGCGTTCGGCAAACTTTCTTACGTTCTAAAAAATCAAACAATCGCTCTATAACTTACGAAGTAAGGTTATATAACTCCTGTATCATACCGGTGCTCACCTACGGAGCATAGACATGGACATTTACACAGGCCAATTTGGATAGGATAAGGAAGGCACAAAAAGCGATGGAGAGACAAATGGTGGGTGTATCACTTAGAGATAGAAAACGTAACCAGTGGATCAGAACCAGAACAAAGACAGTAGACGCGATAGAACAAGCAACAAAACTAAAATGGAAATGGGCTGGACACAATGAACGTCTCCAAGACGGACGATGGAACAATGCCATCGAAAAGTGGCGTCCATACAATGCAAAGAGATCAAGAGGCAGACCACATATGAGGTGGAAAGATGACATCAGTAAACAAGGAGATCCCACATGGCAGAGAACAGCTCAAGATAGGGAAAGATGGAGAGAACTGGGGGAGACCTATATCCAACAATGGAAGGATAGAGAATAGGTTCAAAAAAAAAAAGTATGATTAATATATTATAAGTTATTATTTACACACTGCATGTACATTAAATTTACTAGCTTCAATATTTCTTTTAATTAACATGTTTTAGTTAGCCGAAATGTGTATTTTAGTTGCATATTAACCTGGGTAGCATTTTATTATAAAATTTAAAAATATTGTACGCTACTGCTAGCAAAACAATACCGAATATATAATCACTTTCGGTAATTCGGACACTTTTGGTAATCCGACACCCCTTTGGTCCCATATCTGTCGAATTAATAAAAAGTCATCAAGTCTAATATCTTTCACGATTTAATCTAAATCATATGCTCAAAATGATCACCGATCATCTCCTGACAGTAAAATAGACGGTGTTGAAAATCTTCGGTAACATTTTGTAAAATCTCTGCGGGGATTACATTAATTTCTTGCCTTATGCGGTGCTTTAAATCATAAATATTGGTTGGTTTCATCATGTTGATTTTTGTTTTTAAATAGCCCCATAAGAAATAATCCAGTGGAGTCAAATCGCAAGAACGGGGTGGCCATTCTAAGTCTACCGATCCATCGATGCGGAAAAGTTTGATCAAGAAATGTTCGTACTGCTGCTGCATAATGTGGTGGAGCTTTATCGTGTTAAAATCATATGTTCCTATTAATTTCTGCGGGGTTATTAGTATCTTAAAAGCGTTCAGGTGCTAAAACATTTTGTAGAAATCCACCAAGAATCTACGTTCCTGTAGTTGGCTGTATACCATATATTAAAAAAAAATTATTAAAAAACCTTTATAAAAGGTATATATTTAATATTTATATCTTTTTATTTTTATACCTATTTAAGTATATTATATATTATATATATTTAATATATATATATATATATATATATATATATATATATATAATATATAATATATTTAAATATATACCTTTTATAATGGTTTAAATTTTTTTTATTTTGTAGAAAGTTCAAATAACTCGGCCCAGTTACTGTACCCTCAAAGAAGTATGGTCCAACTATTCTGTTACTTAATATGCCAGCCCAAACTTTTAATTTCTCAGAATTAATTCAGTAAATTAGTACTGTAAAGTGATACTAGTAGGAAAGTTTTGGGGAAGTTCTGATTTTTTCATTCCATATGTGTTTTGGGGTGCTAAATCTGAATCTGAGGTTTTGCGGACAAAATTTCGTGACGCAACATTTAAAAAACCAGAAGAAATCGGTTTTTTTTTTGCTTTTTTCCGGTTTTTTGCTTAAAACTCGAAAACTGTTAACTTTTAGTAAATGGTCTGTTTACAGAAATTAAAGTACTTAAAGTTCTGTACAAATGTCACTATTTTGGTTAGTGTACAGACGAACCGTTCGGTCTCAAGGGCAAGTTGAAAATTGGCAATTTGTACCGGTGTGACTGCAAAACCCACTTTTTAGATTTGTATTGAAAGGTTTTCAGTTAATTTCCCCTAGTATTTAAGTTAATTAAAATAAAGACCGAGTCACACGGATAATTCACGTTTTGACTCAAATATTATAGCTAGATTGCAAAAAATCAAAAAAACTCAGTTAAAAAGCAGTTAAAGCCGCTTTACATTCCAAGCGGCAACAATGTGCTAAACTGTTGTAGACGTTGTAGTATGTGTGTACGTGTAGCGCACACTAGCGCACAAATGAACATGTGACAGTGGTGGGGGAAGATATCGACCTACTGGTCATTTTGATTGGCCTTTGTAGCCCTGATATAAAAAATATATTTTTTTTTGAAGCCAGGAAAAGGAAAGGTTTCGCAAAGCCTCTACAACCCTCATCTGGCTGCTGAGAAAATCCTATTGAATCATATTTTATTCCTGCTTGCGATGAGTGGTTGTGATACTACTTCTGCATTGTTTAATCAAGGGAAACTGAAATTTCTTAAAGTCCTGCAGAAGAACAAAGATTTGCAATCGGTAATTGAAGCTTTCAAAGACCCTAATTCAAGTCAAGATGAGATTGCCACAGCAGGAAACATGTTTCGCACGGCTCTATATGGAAAAAAAGAGACAAAACTAAACGATTTAAGATATAAACAATACGTATCTTCATCATTCAAAAATAAGACCAACATTTCCTCATTGCCCCCAACTGAAGCTGCTGCACGAGAACATTCACTGAGAGTTTACTATCAGGTGCAGCAGTGGTTATCCGGTCAAGCCACACCTAACGAGCAACAAAAAGACCCAAGTGAGTGGGGATGGCAAAAACTAGTAGTGGTCTTGTGCCAGTACCAACTACTTTGGACCCTGCACCAAACTCAATACTCCGGTACATTTCATGTAAATGTAAAAAGGGCTGTCAACGCAATTGTGGATGCAGGAAGGCGGGACTCCATTGTTCCCCAATATGCGCATCATGCGAAGGACTGTGTAACAATGTTGAGCCCCCAGAAGACAGCTCTGACATAGACGTAGAAGAAACTGAAGAAAGAGGGAGAGGTATGTTGGATCTGACAAGTTATTTTGTAGTCATTCATCTCTCCTTGATATATGATATGTGTCTCTCCTCTTTTTATTTTCCAGGAGAACGACTCCCAACGCGGACGATGGAGCAATCAGACCCTGAGCCAGGACCCGATGCCATCGAAGAACCTCGCTACGATGCGGAAGGTATCTCACAATCTATTTTGCAATCTTCATCTCTTCTTGATAAATGACTTAACTTTAAACTTTTATTTTCCAGAACAAGCAGAACCAGGACTCATCGTTATCGAAGAACCTCAGCCAGGGCCTTCCAAAAGACAACGGCTCATATAAATTTTGCATATTATAATTTATAATCATAATAATATATGATCATAAGTAACGAGATTTTAAGTTTTATTTTGTTACGAGTTCTACCTACCTACTGAATTTACATAATTTTTCCCTTTTTTCTTTTTAATTACTTGTGTGGAAAACTAGGTGACATTTATCAAATGACAGCATCCATAAAAATTAAATATTGAAATGTAAAAAGTGGGTTTTGCATAAAATGCTAAAAATTTACAATTTTCAACTCGCACTAGAAACCGAACGATTCGTCTGAAAAAAAAAACTAAATACTGGTATTTGTAGAAAATTTCAAGTACTTTAATTTCTGTAAACAGACCATTTACCAAAAGTTGATAGTTTTCGAGTTTTAAGCAAAAAACCCAAAAAAGAAGAAAAAAAAACGGTTTATTCTGTTTTTTTTTTAATGTTGCGTCACGAAATTTTGTCCGCAAACCCCAGATTCGGATTAAGCACCCCAAAAAACATATGGAATGAAAAAAATCAGAACTACCCCAAAACTTTCCTAGCAAAAATACAATTTAACTGAACTAGATGCTTAATGTGAAAAACACTCATTTTGCAGGATTTTCTATACTTTTTTAATAAAATTGTTTTACTTTTTCAAATAATTGGCTGGTCTTTAAAACATATAGCATAAAACATATAATAAAGATCTTTGGGGTAACATATATTTGTAATTTTATTAGATTCCAAAAATAAGCATAAGTAATCCTGTAGATGTAACTGTAGCAGTCTGGGAAGATGTTAATTTGGAAAATGGATTAGTCAGTTTAGAATATGAAATGGTCGATGAATCACTAGTGGTAAGCAAAATAATATTTTTTTTTAATAAATATATTTTTAAACTTAAAAAGTGATCATTCTCGGGAGTTGGCTGTATAACATATAGTTAAAATACTCGAACATGGAAGTAAAACACTTCTTTTGTAGGTGGTATATTTAATTAAAATTAAACTAAAAATCCAATTAATATAAAACTTTAGAACATCTTCGGACTAGTCAGTCGATCCTGAGTGAACCTTTGTAGTACTTCTGTAGATAACCGCAATTATTTACACAAGTACTACAAAATATCTAAAAATAGCACAAAGTTAATCATGACTAATACATCGTTTTGCGCTAATTGTTTAAAGCTAACTTCTACCTCCAATAGAAATCTCCAGTGTGATGGCTGTAAGAAACCAATACACATTGCTTGTACGAATCTGTCTGTCGATGATCGAGTTACGAGGAAAAAGTACGTGTGATATACTTTGCAATGCATGCAGTTTAAACATTGTAAATATTACAGAAATCAAGAGTCTACTAGTCGAGTTTAAAGCTGACATAAGAAGAAAATTGAAGACTTTGATATTAAACTATCTGGATCATGGACGTATAAATAAAGATGGACTAGGCATGCCCTGCACTCTGTTCACCTAAATTTGAAGTCGAAAAGTTTATAGGCGCGGGGAAAGAGACGAGGTGATAGACTGTGACATATCCTTTTAAGCCAGCGGCGTACCTTCCAATATTTGAAAGTTATTTGAAACAGTTTTTTCACTTGAATAAATAATGACTATTGGTTTTACTTTTGCTTTGCTTGCTTTTATTTTTAGTATCGTAAACATATGAAATATTTCGAATAAGTGAGAAACAACAAACGGTGAATAATGTTAATTTTCAGTGTATAGAAATATATTTATAAAAATTAATTTACACAAAAGAATAAAGATGGAGTAAATAAAATCGTAAAGTACTTTATATAATATTTTATTTAAACTAAAATATCACACAAGCAATAAAAAGTTTAAAAAATTCTTCCCCAAACATTAACCTGTTCAGGGTATTGAGTATGCTCTGCTCTTATCCAGTGAGTGATAAGTTGAAAAAATATAGTCAAATATGGTGTATAACTCCAGCTTAATTGTTAGTTGGCAACATTAGTATGTCACGTTAGACATAGCAGTAGACAGAAGAAAGATAAAAATTCAGGAATATGTATTTAGAAAATATTAATAAACGTAAAAAAACCATAAACCATTGTTTAACAAAACATATACAACAATATATAAAACACATTAAATCTTATGGAACGGTAGGGTTCTAAAATAGAAATATGCTTTATTGTCACTGAAAATTGTACAATGCTTACAAAAAGTAAAAAAAAAACAATTAAACAATTAAAATTTATTGAAATTACAAAAATCGTCAATATCACAAAATAAAAGATAGTAAAATATACAATTCATTGCAAAATCTAATTGTTGCATAATAAAACCTTACGAAATAATTTACGAATAACTTTTAGTTGCTGCATGTGATACACAAATAAATAAATAAATAAATATATATATATTAAATATATATAAATTTATATATATATATAATATATATATATATATATATATATATAAATTCTGCTTCGTTCAGTTCTCCTGAAACATCAACATAAAGCAGAACTAATCTGACTTGACAATGGCAAGTGTGACCTTGCCGAAACGTGGTCAAAACAATGGTTTTTTCTAAAAACCAAAACTATTTAACGCGGAGTCAAACCCGGAAAACATCTGAAAGCACATATAGCTTCCCGCGAAATTTCAAATCCAATATGTACATATATATATATATATATATATATATATATATATATATATATATATATATATAATTATATATATATATATATATATATATATGTATATATATATATATATATATATATATATATATATATATATATATAAGTTCGGATAGATTTCCGCGGTCAAATGAATAACTTCTCCTTAGTTACCAATCTTCCAGAATACTCTTTTACTGAATAATACGGTCTTTGAGATAGATAGGTTTTTGTCATTTTACGAAACTTAAGGATACAATTTGTAAGTTGCAGAGGGGGATAATTGTATAATTTTTTTGCCGAATATAATATAGATTTCTTTACTAAGTCAGTGAACGGGATCGATAATTACACATCAAAGGTTGAATTTCTGGTGGACTAGTCATGATTGGGTCTTGTTAGAAAAACATGTAGGTATTTACCAATTAAGAAAATAATTTCTAGAATATACGAAGAGGGAAGAGTAAAAATCCCGTGATATTTGAAGTAGCTTCTACAATGTGTTATTCTTCTGAGTCCAAGAAGATACCGTATTGCTCTTTTTTGTAATTTAAAAATAACATTAGATTGGGCAGCTGTACTAGAACCGCAAAAAGGAAGGCCATATCGAAGATGAGACTCGAACAAAGAAAAATATGTTATTGGAAGATGCTAAATTGATTTCCTCTAAAACAGATCTTATTGCATAGCAGGCTGAGACTAGTTTATTACTTAACAAATTGATATAAAGGAACCATTTAAGGTTGTTGTCTGTAAAAATACCATGAAATTTTACAGAATCAAGGGTTGAAGAGCTCCTTTATAGGATAATGCTACTCTTATTCACGCTAAAAGATAGTAAAGCAGAGTCGGACCAGGTATTTATTTTAAGTTGATCAGAAGTTATAATTGCATGAAGAGTTGCAATATTAGAGTTCCTCTAGGTAATACTGGTATCATCAGCAGAAAGAAAAATTCATCGCTGCTAGACATGTCTTCAACGGTTTTATTTCTAAAACATATACTTAATTAGATAATCATAATCCTTGTTTTTATAAATTAAACTAAAAACTCACTTTTTATAAATATTACGTGGAACATATGAAAAAGTATTATCACCAAGTAACAACTCTACAGTTTCAGTTTCTGATGCTGTAATGGTGCTCGAAGATGCGTTTTCTGTATCTATATTTTCCTTGTTGTCTTAATTGTCATTTAAACATCTAGAATATTCAATTTATGTACATTAAAGAAGAGTATTAAAATTGGTTTAAGATTGAAATAATCTCATACAAAATATAGCCAAAACTCACCTCCTTTTTAACAGTTTAGGAGAATTAGATTTTACATTAAAGCCCAAGTCTGTCTCCATATTACATTCTTCAGTATCAATAAAACTTCTAAAATATTTTAATATTAAAATGAAATAAGTAATCAAAATCCACATTTAGATTTTATTTGTAAATTTAATAAACAAATTCGATACAAACCCACCCTTTTGAAGGTCCATAAAAATCATCCTTATCAATACTACTGGAAGCTGTTGCTTTATTTTCCATATCGTTTGTAGAACTAAAACATTGAATTATTAATTATTATGGAATATGCTACGAGTATGCATTATATTTGGTTAAATTTAATTTTCGTACAATGAACATAACCTATAGATATGTATATATTTCATTGAAATTAATATATTTATAGCAATTATAGTGTAGATTAGAAAAAATAAATAAATGTATTTATAATACTACAAAATTAAACTTCAATTCATGTCAAGCATTAAGTATTATCACATCCCTGTACTACGCCTATGGACAAAATTCCACTGTTTACAATACTTACGAATGAAATGACAGTTCTGGATGTAAATATGAAGTTTTCCTGCATACAACACAGTTACGCACCATTATTACACTTAACTATCAACTATTCTTCACTTCTAATTTAAAATATATTAACAAATTCACTAAAATGTCACAAATAAGGAAATTATCAACTCAAAGGTAAACAGTACAACGCCATATTCTTTTTCGTCAAATCGCTAGGATTGGTTGATATTACCAACGATGCCAAGTTTTACAAGAGTTAAGATTATCAGAATATATTTTCTTTTAATAAATTAAAAAATTAATTTTTTTCTTTTAATTCCTTGGTTGCGAAATGAGTATATCTAAAAATAGTTTATACTAACTAGATAATACATTTTTACTTATAGATTTAAAGTAAATTACACTAAAAATCGAAAATTATTTCGAAGATTGACTCTGAAAAAAAATAATAATATGACAACGTCAAATTAGGGATTTGTGCCTATGACTGTGAATATCTCATGACTTCAAGTATAGATGTAAACAGACCGGTCCATCTTTATTTATACGTCCATGATCTGGATTCAGCAATAAATTAAATCAACTTGATTCTATTACAACAACATAATTTATTAACAACATTGTCAATGAAACCGCTGATCACATATCTCGTTTCAAAAATTTTTTGGTTAGAGGCGTCCCTGAACCTACAGGAGACCAACAAAATAAAAAAGATCATATAAGAATAAAATCCATTTAGCCCTAGAAGTCATTGGAAGTCAACAAAGTCCTGTTACATTTTATAGGGAGGTAAACCAAATCAAAATAAACGTTATCCCCGCATGATAAAAGTTATAATGAGTTCTGAACACCACACTCGAAAAATGCTTTTAGAAAACTTTTAGTTTAGTTTTTAGTTTTACTTTTAGTAACAAAAATAAACTTTTAGAAAACAAATCTACTGAAACTTATTCTGGTATTGATGACAAGACACCTATGCAGCAACTTCGTTTAAAGGAACATCGTACTGAGCTTGAAACTCGTAAAAATAATGAAGAAAATGATCTGATGATTAAATATATGAATGGCTGTCCAAAGATAATGAAATTTCGTTCAAAATTCTTCTGCACCAAAATTTACGGATTGGCTTCTTATGTACACGAATCTAAACTTGCTTGTGTCAAAATTTAATGAATTTATAAATACTGTTCAACTTTTATAACCTCACATTATTCTACTAACAGAAACGTGGCTTAATTCTTCTATCCACGATGCTATTGTAAACATTGATAATTTTACTATATTTCGTAGAGATAGTGGTACTCGTCGAAGGGAAGTGGTATGCATTTGTTTGGCAAATGATATTACTAATACTTTTTTCCATCAGTAATAAAAGAATAGACGTACCTGGTATAGAAATTATCCACTTACTTATTACTAGTAATTCTTTCATATTTAATATAGTTTGCCTATACCGACTCCGGATACAGTACTTACTCAGGACAATATGCTTATTAAGAAACTTGAGGAATTATCATCCCTTGAAAATCTTATTGTTGTTGGAGATTTCAATTTTCAATCCAGAGATAAGCTGGTCCATTATTTCCAAAACTGATACTATTAATTCCCAAAATATGTTTAAAAACTTTGTGATAAACTTAAATTTATTACAACTCATAGCTGAATCTACAAGATTTAGAGCTAACAATAATCCTTCAATTTTAGACTTATTTTTCACAGATGCCGATAAATTAATTTCTACACTTGAAGTTTCCTCGTCTGTGGGTCTTTCTGACCACTCGCTTATTACTGCTCACATTCAATTTAGTTTAACACCGCCTTACACAAATAATTTCGTAACGTATGCCACTACTGATTTCTTTAATGTAAATTCGGTTTTATCTCAGTTAAACTGGCAATCTATTTTTCCATTATGTTCTTCGAATAACGAATCTTCGGAATGTTTATCGTTATTCTTTTCTCGGGTTTTTACAGAAACGATAGCATTCCTCAAATAATTAGCCCACGTTTGTCTAAAACTCTTGACAATATATCTTACACACCGGATGAAATTAAACATCATTTAAGGAAACTACGAAATAATTTATCACCTGAATTAGACGAACTCACCTCCTTTTTCCTCAAACAATGTGCAGAATCTGAAGCAATCCCTATATATCTCATAATGAATGCTTCTTTTAATCAAGGTTCTCTTTCTTTGTCCTGGAAACTGGCTTGGTTACTCCTATATTCAAGAAAGAAAATAAACTTGATTGTAAAAATTATCGTCCAATCAGCCTGGCTCCTATTGTTGGCAAGGTCATGAAATCGATTATTTCAGAAGCTATGTCTAAGTTTCTTCTTCAAGAAAATGTCATCCCTCGCCAACAGCATGGCTTTATCAAAGGTCGTTCAACGACCACAAATTTACTTTATTGTGTAAATGATTAGTCATTATCTTTAAACAATCGGAATCCTGTCGATATAGTCTACTTAGACTTCTCCAAAGCTTTCGACTGTATTCCAAAACGTCGATTACTAGCTAAATTGAAACACTATGGATTCCGTGGAAAGGTAAACATTTGCATTGAAGATTTTCTATCCGACAGATACTTTAGGCTTTGTGTTGGGGAAGACCACTCACTAGATAAGCCAGTCAAGAGTGGAGGCTCACAAGGATCAGTACTTGGACCAAATAGAATCTTTAATAATTGATGGATTCGACCGTACCGAACGAATAGCAGAACATAAAAAGGGCTTTCAAGAATAGAAAAACAGATTCGACATACGCACTTCACCTTCTAGATCATAATCATTCTTTTAATGACAAATTTAAAATTCTTCACATTCAAAATAAAGGCCTTAAGCTATCTTTGTTAGAATCTATGGAAATCAACAAATTAAAAAACACAGATATAATTCTGAATGACCAACTTGAGACAAACAGTTCTCCCCTCCTCAACCTATTTCATTAGAGACTATAAATTTGTAAACCCAAGCCAAAATAGATCACTTGAGAAAGGCAATCAGCCGAAACAGCTGTAGTGATAATATTTAAAATAAATTTTGTGGAAGTTTGAAAACAAAGTTTTCAGTGTTTTTATTGTTACAGAATCTTTAATATCTGGAACAATTTGATAGCGATTTGTTTTATTTATAGGATTGTGTTTTGTTTTCGGACAGCATTATTTATTTATTAATTGTCTGACAAGTCAATTTTTGTATAATATACTTAATTGTTTATACAACTTTATAACGTTATATTAACTTTATAATTGGTATTAGTGTTATAAGGATATTTTTGAGTTTTGTTTTTTTTTGCTTTCTGGGCACTCCTCTGCCCTTATTTGTAATATAATAATAATAATAAAAGTTATAACTGAAGATGGACTTACTAGTCCGAAAACGTTCTGTACTATTAATTTATTTGGATTCTTAAATTTAATTTTAATAAATAATATACCTATTACATCAGAAGTGTTTTACTTCAATGTTCGAGTTTTTAAATACATATTCTTCTTTTGTATCTTCGAATATCATTCGAGTCACCTATTTAACATTGGAGGAATGTACTCTTGGTTGTATTTTTATAAATTTAATATAGTTTGTCAATTCTCTCATTCATCTGCTTCAATAGAGGCAAACATTGTCTGATAATTAAGATCTCTAGCGAATCTCTTTTATAAACTACCACCGAGGAGATTGTATACATGGAAGGCACCAGCGGATAAACCCCATAACGTAATTAGAAACCAGCTGGATTATATATTCGTAAATAGAAAATTCAGAAACAGTTTTAAATCTGTCAAAACATGTCTAGGAGCGGACATTGAATCTGACTACATACCTTTAGTGGGAGTCATGGATGTGAAACTGAAGACAATAAAGAAAAAGTCTAGACCTTACTACGACATGACAGCCCTACAATATCCGGAAGTAAAAAAGCAAGTGGGGGAATATATTAACAACCAAGTTAAACAACTAAAAGAAGAAAATAACATTCAACGAGAAATCAATCAATTCGAAGAAATAATTAAGAAAACTAAACAAGATCTGCTAAAACTAAACAAAGAAACAAAGAAGAAATCTTGGATGACTCCAGAAATCCTTCAGTTAATGGAACGCAGAAGGTTAATAAAAGGAAATAAAGATGGGTATAAAAAAATGGAGGCTTATATCAGAAGAAAAATAAGAGAAGCTAAAGAAAAAGAAGCTGTAAAGAAATAGAAAGACTACAAGCCAAGCATGACAATTTTAATGTACACAAAAAGGTAAAAGACATAACGGGTACTTTTAAAAAGCGAACACAAATGAAACTCCTAGACACCAATGGAAAATTAATCATTGACACCCAAGAGATGAAAGATAAATGGAGAATATATTTGGAGACACTTTTTCAAGATCATAGAACGGATTGTAGGCATCCATTTTCAGAGAGGTTGACGGGCCCGGACATACTTAAATCCGAAGTAGAAGAAGAAATAAAACGGATGAAAAGCAGGAAAGCTGTAGTGCCTGATAATATTGAAGCTGAATTTTTAAAACTCTTGAAGGAAGAAGGAATAAATTGGTTCACGGCTGTCTTCAATAAAATATACAATACAGGAATCATCCCTGATAAATGGCTAGAATCAGAATTCATAGCGATACCAAAAAACAGGGGCTAAAAAGTGCAAAGAATATCAAACAGTCAGCATAATGAGCCACATGTTGAAACTGTTTCTTAGAGTCATCCATGGAAGAATTTATAAGAAGTGCGAGGAACAAATAGAAGTGCGGACAGACAGTTCGGCTTCATTAACGCAGTGGGTACCAGAGAGGCACTTTTCGGAGTAAAGGTACTGATTCAAAGATGCAGGGACGTTATATGCCAAGTTTATATGCCACGTATACGCGTGCTTGATCGACTATGAAAAGGCATTTGACAGAGTTCAACATCAAAAGATGATAAACATTTTAAAAGAGGCAGACCTGGATGACAAAGACCTCAGAATAATTTCAGAACTCTCTACTGGAATCAGACCGCATACATGAAAATTAACGGAGAAGAAACAGATCACATAAAAATACTACGTGGAAATAGACACGGATGTATCCTTTCGCCGTTGATATTTAATATGTACTCAGAGAAAATTTTTAACGAGGCTCTTTACGGAAAAGACGAAGGCATTCTTCTAAAAGGTGAAAGAGTAAACAATGTTAGATATGCCGACGACACCATGGTGATAGCAGATAGTTTAGAGGGACTTCAGAGGCTAACGGACAGAATAAACGAGTACAATCATCTATGCAGTATTGCTACATGGGAACTATTATATAAACGAACAGTGGAGCAATGTATATTATACATTTCCTATGCGGCACAATAAAGTGCCGCATAGGAAACGCAAGAACGGTCTTTAACAAAATGAGCATAATCTTCAAAAGTCACAACATATCCCTAGATACAAAAATGAGACATTTGAGATGCTATGTTTTTTTCTGTGTTGTTGTACACCACTATTAAAAAACTTGAAGCATTTGAGATGTGGCTTTATAGAAGAATGCTGAGAATATCATGAACATCAAGGATCACGAACAAGGAAGTTCTAGGAAAAATGAAGAAGGAACCAGAGATTGTGTTTACGATCAAACGCATAAAATTGCAATATCTGGGACACGTTATGAGAAATCAGCACCGTTACTCCCTGCTGCAGTCTATATTGCAAGGTAAATTCAAAGGTAAGCGAGGACCCGGAAGAAGGAGAATATCATGGCTGCGGAATTTAAGAACATGGTTTAAGAAAACTTCAACGGAGCTGTTTCGAGCCGCAGCGAGCAAGGTTATTATTGCCAATATGATTTCCAACATCCGAAACGGATAGGAACCAGAAAAAGAAGAAGCGAATCTCTAATGTGAAAATAATTCTTAAAAATTTTTACAACCCTCACAATATTACACTTTATTGGACAAGCACTCGTTATATAGTAGCCTAAGTATTCCTCATCTTATTTTTTTCTCTTACAGGGCAAATGGAAAATTGAATCATTCGGAGATATGAAATATTTTGAAGTATCCAAGTATACTCTACCACGATTTAAAGTCAATCTAATAAGTCCAGAAAAAATATACCATGAAACTAAATCATTTTCGATTTATGTTTGTGGACAATATTCCCACGGGCGAGCTGTAAAAGGTCTAGCATTCATCAAAATTACTCATTCCCATGGAAGTTTTAAACCTATTAATCGTCTCAAAGGAGTAAGTAAATAATTTTTCGATGTAAATATCTAAATTCTGAAAGAGACTTTCAAAGTAGTTCATTATGTAACAAAATTAAGTTGTATTAGCTCATAACGGTAGAAATAATATAAATTAAACCTAAAAATAAGTATTTTTAACGGTAATAAATGCACTATCAATAATATAAGACTGTCAACAATATTAATATTATTATAATAACTGATAACTGATAATTCAGTTAGCAGGGTATTGCAAGTCAAGCCATAATTGATAGTTAACTGCCTTGCGAGGACTAGTTTTTGAAACTACCTAGTCTATAAATGTTAGTGCGCTTGTCTCAAACAAAAGGTACTACCTGTATAACGCTGCTCAAACACACATAATTATTAAGAGATTAAATTGTCATTATTTTAATTATGCAAATTTGCTGATTCGGAAAAGATATATGTATTTATTAAAAGATTATAGTCTTTCTAACCTTCTATTTTCTCTTTTAAATATTGTTGTGTTTATTCTAGATGGAAAATGGATGTGGTGAATTTGTATTATCTGTAAATGATCTAAATTTAACTAATATTGCAAATAAATTACCGTCTGAAGACAAAATGTCACTCCATGTTTCCGCTACAGTAACCGAAAAAGGTACTAATAAAATAGAAGTCATATTCAAGAAAATCAGGATTTATTTTCAACCCTATAAAATGAAATTTATTGGTAAGCTTGTAAAAAATTTTAATAGTATTAATATATTTATTAAATAGCTTAGGTAATAGTGGATTTGATTTTTAATATAGTTATGATAAATGAAATACTATTTAAGATATTACTCTTATTTAACTACTCTATAATAATTTTTGCCACTATTTTTACATTGCGTTATTTGTTATAAAATGCATAAATTATTTTTTTTTAATAATATAGTTTGGATAATATTAAGAACATATAATAATATGTAAGAAACAAGTGTGCAGTATTCTTTCTTTTCAATCGCATCTCTTGCTACTTTGGCAACTCTATGTACCTGCTCAATTGTTCCATATTGTTTGCCTGAATCGAAACTGATAATCAGGTATTAACTTAAGGACATAAAGAAAATTTAGGTCCTAATGCTAAAAATTTTTTAATTTCAAAAGGAAACTGAATAGATGTTAGATTCTTAAACCATTTTTCTTGAAATTTTATCTTATCAAAAGCTTCTATTTTTAATTTATTGAACTTATTAATTTGTATTTTTTTTTGTATTTTTTTTGAATTTTTTTGATTTTTTGAATTTAATAAACACAGAATTTCATAAAATCAAAAAAATACAAATTAATAAGTTCCATAAATTAAAAATAGAAGCTTTTGATAAGATAAAATTTCAAGAAAAATGGTTTAAGAATCTAACATCTATTCAGTTTCCTTTTGAAATTAAAAAATTTTTAGCATTAGGACCTAAATTTTCTTTATGTCCTTCCAAATCTGATATTAGAGTTCCTAATTTACTTTCTGATATTGAATCAATAATCAGACCACTTAATGATAATCAAAAGGATGTTGTTAGATCTAAATGTACAAACGTCATTACAAACTTTTTACATAAAGAAGTCAAAGATCATTTTTTAAATAAATACTATTTACAAACTAAACTTTTTCTTAAAAACCATCCTGAAATTTATATTGTCAAAAGCGATAAAGGTAACGTAACTGTTGTAATGTATAAAGAGGATTACCTACAAAAAACTGGAGAACTCTTAAATGATACTAAGTATTACACTACACTTAGAAGGAGTCCTGTTTGTACTTTACAACAAAAAGCAAATTGTCTGGTATCAAAATTAAACAGTAAGAAATTTATTGATAATAAAAAAGCAAAAGAACTCAAAATTTATAATTCTATTGCACCACGGTTTTATGCTCTACCTACAATACATAAACCAACTTTATCTATGAGACCAATTGTTTCATCTCTATGTCCTCCAAATGGACCAATAGCACAGCTCCTCACTGACATCTGCCCTACTTTAACAAAACATAGTAACTCGAGTTACTAGGTTTTAAAAAATTACATGATTTTTGAAATCCCCGTTAAAAACTACGTATTATATATTTTTTTTACATTTTACCTTTCTACAGGCTAACCCAATCAGCTGATCTCTTTTTTTAGTAAGTCGATGAATAGCATAGATATCCTAGAGAAGAACATAGCAAATAAAGTTACTACCTCACTCTTCTTTATTTTACTAAGATCTACATTATGTAAAAGCTAGTATTTTAAGTTACTAGGTTTTGGAAAATTATTTCGTCAAAATTTATAATATATTGGCGCCAGTGGTTTGAAGATACTAGCTTTTAAATAATTGTTTTGACCTAAAAATTTTGGCGTAGGAACTTGTCAGAAGACAGCAACTTCCAGTTACTAGTTTATACAACGTTAATTCCCACCATTTCAACGACCACTGTAGTCAGTAACCACAAGCTCAGTAGTTAATCAACGAGAAAAGACGTGTTTTGTTTGGGTTCGGTAGTTATAAGTAGAGCCGCGAGTATTACATTATTACGGCAAGAAAGCTGCTGCGTCTGTAAACAATAATTAAAGTAAAATGGATAATTTTAATTATCTTTCAAATAGGAGTAAATTATTAGTGTCATTGTGTGTTAAAAGGTAAGCGCCATGATTTCCTATAATTTTTCTATCCATTTGAATCTGTGATGGTGGTGAAATATAAAGTTAATTTTTTTTATTTGTTTTAAAATCGATTAAAGATAGGTCATTTTCTGCTTGAGTGTGCAGGGCATAGAGAGAAAACGTAGGTGAAATACTGGGTGTAAAATGAGGTACATGGGGGTAAATAGAAGAATCGAAATCAGGGTTATAGAGTCGAATAAATGGGAAAAAAGTTGCGAACCTACTTTAATGCGTGACCAACCGTAATTCGTTCGCTCTTTTTGGGATTTAAAATTGGTCTCTCTACGGATATACAGGGTGAAAATATGAAAATGTGCATGTTCAAAAACCACAATATTTTCTTTATTATAGAAGCTAAGATCATCAAAGTTTCAGGGCATGGGTAAAAAGAAGCGGCGATAATAAAAATGGCATCAAAACATTGCAGGCCTACGATGTTGCGCTAGGCCGTACCTATTGATTTTTTATTAACACACGGGTGAATTGCTTTTTGTAAACATTTTAAAAACGTAAATTCAACATTAATTCAATATGGAAACCATAATCAAAACAAGAGTTGAATTAAAATAAAATAAACCTATATTTTTGGGCACACAAATGCGCAACTTTTCTGCCACTAAACGAGCTGTTCGTAAGGGGGTTGTTAGGTATAATGATAAAATTATCGAATTTTAAGACGTCACTAAACTTGTGTGGGATATTCATTATTATCATGGTATATCATTTAAATGTGAGTGTATAAAGAAAAATTGCACATTTAAAAGGATTGTATTTGTTTTTAGAGGACGTTCTGAGGACAATAATTTAAAAGAGCCTTTAGACCCAGTAATCGGCACTTCAAAGAATGTCCATTCAAGGGATCAATTATATGAGAAATTTCCGCAAGATAATATCCTACGAAATGTACCCGAAGAACCCTCTGATTTTGACGACTCAGATGCGGATCCTGATTATGAACCTGAAAACGAAAATAAAAGGCATAAGACATATTTTAATTTACAAAATGTATTTGATTCGCATGAAACTGGTTTTGTAAGTTTGAGTACAAAATTGGATCTTACCAACGCTCAAGATTCTGCACCTGCCAAGGCCTCTTCGAAGAATATCCAAGAAAATGTCTGCAATAGCCCGGTTTTAGAGGAAGAAAGTACTAAAAACGAAGCTGACATACTCTCTGTTTGTACACAAGTGATTGAAGATATGTTAGATAAAGTTTGTGCAACCAAAGACAAATATAAGAAGAAAAGCATCATAGATCAAATTCATAAACATCCTTTATTACCTCCATGTAATAACAAATGCCGCAGGGGCTGTTCAAAAAAAATTGATCTGCTCGAAAGAGATAAAATAAGAGTTGCTTTTTGGACAATGACTTTTGGTGAACGACGGCTGTTTCTAGACTCACATGTTAAACAGTCGAATGTAAAAACCAGAATGCAGGAGGCCTTATCATCAAAAAGAAATTTTTCTCTTAAATATTTTTTGCCAGTTAAGATAGTTTTACAGGAAGCAGTTGATAACAAAACTGAAACTACGAGTGTTACGGAAATACAAACATGCAAAAATATGTTTCTGTACACATTGGGATTAAAAACAGATGGCATGATTACTACTCACCTAAGAAGTAAAAGGACTTCAGATAATGCAATTGCCAAAACCAAAGACGACAGGGGGCTTATTGCTCGGTCTATTTTAAACGACCAAAAATTGGAACATGAATCACTTATAATAAATCATATAAATTGCTTCAATCCAGTCGTATCTCACTATAACTTAAAACATGCACCTAATCGAAGATACTTGCCTTCAGAACTGACGATATCTTTTTTGTGGAAAGATTTTGGTACCAATCATAAAATTGGATATGATCTTTATAGAAGCGTTTTTAAGAAACAAAATATTGGTTTCTGTAGGCCATCCCAAGATGAATGCGAGGTTTGCACAATCTACGAGGCTCATTCCAATGATGCGAATAATTTGAAATGCAACTGTAAATATTGTGTATATTATCAGGAACATAAAGAACACTACACAGAGGCTAGGCAGGCGTACCAAGCAGACCAGGAGAAAAAGCTGGATTCGGACGAAAGAGTTTTTAGTGTTGACATGCAGAAAGTGTTACTTTTGCCAAAAATGTCAACCAAGAACTCGTTTTTTATATCAAGGTAAGATTTTTTTAAGGATTATTTATTTTTTTTTCGTTTTTCACTTTGCATGGAATTTACATTAAAACTGCTAATTATTATTTGGATAAAGTACTAGAAAACATACTTAAAAAATTATAAATATGCTCACAGAAAAAAGGAATTCATTTGAACCTCAAATTATCCTAAATTGCATTTTGTTAGATTACATAAATATTTCAGATATCTGATACATTGAAAAACGCTGCAATCCTTGATACCACGTTATTTATTTATTTATTTATTTATCAAAATTACGGAACACTCCATTTTTACCAAATAGATTTAAATTATAGTTTCATTATAGTACTTATTTTTTTTATTTGTGTATTTTCAGGCTTGTCGTGTTCAACGAAACCTTTGCCTCATTGGGGAATGGCGAAAATATTTGTGTTATGTGGCACGAGGCCATCAGAGGCAGAAGTGCAGCTGACGTGACTTCAGCATATTATAATATCATGAAAAACCTAAGTTCTAAAGTATCAAAGATTACATTTTGGGTGGATAATTGCTCCGCCCAAAACAAAAATTGGACATTATATTCATCTATAATTTGTTTTGTAAATTCGGATTGGGGGCCAAATGAGGTAACATTCAAATATTTTGAGCCTGGCCATTCTTTCATGGCGGCCGACTCAGTACACGGTCGAATTAGTTCACAAATGAAAAAGCACCCCAATATATACGACTTTCAACAGCTTCTAAATATAATCGAACAATCCTCAAAGAAAACTAAATGTTTAGCTCTCAATATCTCGGATTTTTTTCCTTTTACAGATGGTTGTAAGAAACGTAAAAACAACAATATTCCATTACTTGATAAAATTAAACAAGTTCAGTTTCGTAAAGGTTCCAAAAACCTT